GGGGGGGGAGAAGAGTCAGAGGGGGAGAAGAAGAAAAAGAAGGAGAAGCGATGCCGTCGATGATGAAGAAGAAGAATACACGAGGAAGAAGAAGAGGGGGGAGAAAGAAAAAAAAGAAAGAAAGAAAAAAAATAATGGTCACCTACCTGCGTGCCGGCTTCGGGATCGGTGGCATGGCAGCGGCAACGACGAAGGCAGCGAGGTGCTGACGTGTCAGCGACGACGAAGACAACACGACATGACGGACGCAGACACAAAGTCGCAAAGTCGCAATCTTGGATTCCGAACACAATGCCGCAGCAAGTCACACTCGCGCACAAGCATTGAGGCCAAAAACTGAATGCCCAAACTCAGCTTCAGTCCGGTCGTAAGTACCAGACCCAAGCTTGAGTCCGGTCTCAAGTACCAGACTCAAGTTGAGAGTCCCGAGGGCAGAAGTGCAATTTGCCTTGGGGCTGAACTGAAAATCGAAGGTCTGAGCCTGGGTGCCAGAATGCCGGATGGCGCCAAGTATCGAAATCCGAAAGTGCCAGAGGGGGGTTTTGAGAACGGGCGCCAACTGCAGAGGGCGCCAACAGTCAGGAACCGGAGATCAGAGACTCAGAATTAAAATAGCGGCCTGGCGGGTGGTAACCCGCGGACCAGGGATCGAGCCCTGGCTGAGTCTGTAACAGAAGGTGTGAATGTCATGCTGGATTCGTTTTCAATCAGGGGGGACATAACACATGGATGCAGAAACCATCTGATTGTAGTGATTCTGACAAAGACGATGGCGCCTACAGCCGAGTGTAACAGTGTCTGTAGCTACGCAAAGGAGAAGGTCGCGGAGTGTTTGTACACTGTCCTTCTGGAGAACGGGGTCATAGGAATGATGATCTTCGACATAAAAGAGATTGCGGACAGTTTGGTGAGGCAAGAAAACAGCAACGTGATGTAAGAAATCAGGAACATCAGTCATGGCATGGACCATCATGCCGTTGTCCCACAGGTCCCAGTGGTCAGAGGCATGTATGATGGCCATGTAATGGCCAGGTCCGTGCAGAATGCAGGCAGAGGTGAGGGATGGGGGATTAACCACTCACCTGCTCGAGCATTGCGTAGTTCAAGTTGGCGGTCCCTCATTGCTAATTGTGGGACAGCAATGATAAAGCCTCTTCCCCTGGTATATTACAATCCTCTGGCGGTACGTGGTGGAGATCAGCATCAAGCTGAAGGGCAATAGCGAGGAAGTCTGCTGGTGTATAAAACGGGTGGTGGAGAATGTGAAGCCAGATATCAGTTGCAGTCAGACCACAGAGATTGGTGTGGGTCTCCGGCTGGTGTGCCGGATGCTGCCCAACGATTTGCAGATCATCCAGCTGGTGTTGCAAGCCCAAAATGTCTTGGGTTGTTTGCTGATCAGTCATTTGCAGATCACCCATAAAATTTCTGCTTTTGCCTGTATAACCTGTGTTAGTCCCCGGGCGGCCCGGCTGGGGGAAGGTCGTCCGGGTACCCTCCCGGGCAGCCCGGACCGGGCAGGGTCCCGGGCGATCCCAGCGCATAATATTCTAAAAAATAGAAAATAAAAAAATTCTAAAAAATTTTAAGAAAACCCGAACAAAAAATATGTTCTGTAAAATTGCAATACAAACAACTGTTGGCTGAGGGCCACCTCGAAAATTGCAATACAAACGACTTTTGGCTGAGGGCCACCTCGAAATTCCTTGTTAATTTCAAGATAAAAAGAAATGAGAAAACCCGAGTCCCAAAAGACTCCAAATGTATCCTTTTAAGCCCTTTAGTCACTGTTTATACTCCCCAACCCCCCCAGGATGACCCATCACCAAAACCGAAGTTAAGACCGGATTCTGACTGCTTGGGCCAAGCGCAGTCCCGGCCTGAAGTCTTTTTTTTTTTTTTTGGGATCCTTGCCTCTTTTTTGACCCGTCTGGTTTTGCCGGGCGACCCCCCTTCTGCCCAACTGGCCCAGGCGTGCCGGGCCGGGCGACGGCCCAACATAGTGTATAACAGTATAAGCTTATTTGCATTGCTTGTCAAAATTATTCTACAAACACCTTGGTCAACTCAATCTTCCTATATTCTATTGAGAAAAATAATAAACTGGATCAAATTGGTATTTCTTTGCAAAGTAATCTTCTTCTTCTATTTGAATTAATCTCATTATTGCTACTAAACCACCACTAACCCCGCCGTCATAAATTAGGGGGAACCGGTAGCACAGGTCCATGAGGGCTACCGGTAGCACAGTGAGGGGAACTGGCGGAGTGGCAAAAGTCGAATTACCCCTGCGATTTATTTCGCGGTTCAATTTTTTTTTATTTTTATTTTTTTAAAACATTTTTCCTGTAAAGATCACGACAAAATCTACGGACCCTCCAATTTTCAGAGTTGTTGGGTCATTCTTCTGATCGCGGAAAATCGCAAAGGTTGGGTCACGTTTCCGTTGGCCCATACATGGTAGAGTAGCAAAAATGGAGAATGTGACGAAACGGCGCGGCCCTTACTTCACCGTCTATTTTTTTATTTTTTTTATTTTTTTTTCCTGGAAAGATCACGGCCTAATCTACAAGATATCAAATTTTCAGATTTTTTTGCTAATGTTTCTGAGCGCGAAAAATCGCCAAAGTTCGCGCTTGGAAATTTTTGGACCGGACCCGCCTGCGCCTCCCGGTCGCCGCCCCCCGTAAGAACCCGGTCCGTAAGGCCAGGAAAGTCCATTTTAGGCTGGCGGCGGTACTGGTGGTTTAATAACATTAATAGGAGCAGGGGCGCAGATTTGTGGTTCGTCCAAGTGATGCTGGTCAGCCATTTGCAGATCCCCTGTGTGGTCTACGCCTTGTGGGGTTGACTGCAGGGACCACATCCTGTGTTCAGGTGTAATATCTAACGCTGAAGGGCATAAGACATGGTGCCGTGGCTGCCTGCAGGCAGTTGGACTGTCTGCCGGAGGCATAGGAGTGGATATTGCCGTTTGGAACAAAGGAACCACAACAACCTGTGGAGCAGGCACAGAGAGAACTGGGCCAGACAAAGAAACAGGCTGCTGATCCTTGGACAAGTGACGACGCTGCGGATGTCGTTGATGATACACAATAAGGGGAGTAGTGGTGTTGCAAACAGAAGATGAACGCGCCCCTGGCAACGAAGGTGGAACAATGGGAACAATGGGAACAATGGAAACCAGAGAGTCTGTTCGCAAGCCAGATGGTGGAGGAGATGGGGGTGGCGAGGAGGAACAAAGCCGTCTGCGGCGAAGCACAGAAAGAGATGAAAGGACGGATTGAGCAGGATTGCAAAACAAAGGACGTTAGTGTTGGGAAGACTGTGATGTTTTTTGCGCTGGAGCTGCGGTAGAGGAAGCTGTAGCAGCAAAAAAGTATAGTACGGGGGACTGCAGCAGAGGAAGACGTTAGTGTTGGGAAGACTGTGATGTTCTTTGAGCTGGAGCTGCGGTAGAGGAAGATGTAGTAGCAAAAAGTATAGTACGGGGGACTGCAGCAAAGGAAGCTGTAGTGAGAACTCCAGTAGTGGAAACTGCAGTAGCAGAAACTGCCAGAGTGAAAGCTGGAGCTGTAGAAAGTGTAGCGGTGGAAACAGCAGCAGTGGAAACTGCAGCATCAGAAATTACTGCAGCAATGGAAACTGTTGTAGCAGAAACTGCTGGAGTGAAAACCAGAGCTGTAGAAACTGCAGCAGTTGAAACTGGAGCAGTCGAAGCTGCAGGAGCTGAGAATCTTTAAGATCTAAATTTTCAGTTGTCACAGCCTCCATATGGACATACACTTATCGGGCCTCGCTGAGATCAAGGAGAGTATCTGAACGGACAAGTTTGATACGTGATCCGTGGTCCATCACACCAAACCATGCTAAATCAATCTTTTTGTGGGGGAGAACTCACGCCCTCTACGAAAATTCGAAGAAAAAAGAATCGAGATGCGGCCAACCTTGTCTGCTGACATACCAAGATTGGCGACCTGGACCAACTGCCTCAGATTTGTAAAGGACGGCGTCTACTGGCCCCAATCTATTGTTGTTCCAGCGCCAGTGCTCTCTGCGAGGCTGCAGGAGGAATCCAGCACACTTTTTTTTATCGAATTGTCCCCAGGCCCCGTGCGCAGGGGCGACCGGGAGCCGACCGGGACAGCAGACCCGCCAGTCCAACTGGGGGACTCCCGCTTGGGGGAGGGGTCCCCGGCCATAGGGGGACCAGAAATGATTTGAAAGCATTTAGATTTCTAATTGGAGCAACAGATGAGTGCCAGTATGGGAATCCTCTGTGAGAATAAACTAGCGCCTTGGACCACACATTTTTCAGTCCCAAACACTCACAGAGCTACAAAACATCATAACCACAGAGCTACAAAACATCATAACCATCATCACTTTCATGACCAGGAGGATTATCGTCATCAGCTCCTTCGACATCACACTGCCTTTCACCTCCTAACCGCCAGATCGTTTCACATCTGAAACTCATGAGTAAGGGGGATGGAGGTTGACTGTGTTTGCTGGGGTTTCTCAACCTCTTGTCCGAGTATTTGAAGCTATGTTAGGCGTCTTTTGCGGCATGCACATATTATGCCTGCAAAATGACCTGGACGTTCTATTCCAGCACACTCACACAACTGCGTTCCCGAGCAATTTGTCTGTGCTACTAGCACGGTACATCCCCCAGAACATGGCAAGTGTGAATGCGTCGGCGACACAGCACTCAAGATCAAGATGTTGTGAAAAGGAGGTGGAAGGGCATATTACACCTGGGAGGCACTTGTGACACCCTTTTCTAGCTACTCTCTTCTTCACAACATGCTCAACACTTCCGTTTGCTGATCATGTCACTCAATAGCACATATATCAAGACAAGCAGATGAGATCTGAGAGCAGGCTATGGCTATAAATAGATATCATGGCACAGACCTTTTCTCGCAAGCCTCAACTAGTGGCTCAACTGGCAAGAGGCTGCGAACAGAGATGATAAGGCCCTTGATGAAATCCTCTGGTGCTTCCTCGTCAACAAGTTTCCCTACCACAATATGTGTATTTCCGGGGTTAACCTGCAGAGATACACCAGTATGTTGCAACAAAGAGGTCGAAAAAGTCAAACTTCATCCCTGCATGTGCCCTTGAACCCATCACTCAAAACTGGCATTCCTACATCGCATACAAATAGGAGCGCACATATAAGATCTGGAAGTCTACATGTAATGCCCTTGAACCCATCACTCAAAACTGGCATTCCTACATCGCATACAATAGGAGCGCATATATAAGATCTGGAAGTCTACATGTAACACTCACTTCACAGACGGAATCCACAAACGTACGAGCTACAAGTTTAAACTTTAAATCAGTGCTGGTGATGGACAGGGGGACCTTCAACCGACCAGGAGCCTACTGGTCCAACCAGGCGGTTCACTGGCCCGGGAGGCCCCCGGTTCGATTTGGCACACTCCTTTTGGGGGGCGATACGAGGGACTGCCCAGCCTCTCGGAGGCCGCCGCCACCGGTGGAAAAACAAAATGGGCCCTACCGGACCCCGTTTTCTTTTTGAGAACGCACAGCCAATCTTCGCCGCCAATCGGCGCAGATCGGCGGTGTTACCGGAACCCGTTTTCTTTCGAGAACGCGCAGCCAATCTCCGCCGCCAATCGGCGCAGATCGGCGGTGG